CGCACGCACGCACGCACGCACGCACGCACGCACGCACACGTTCGTAGTGAACTTATTAATATCTCTAGGTTTGTTATATTAATGCCATGGAAAAACAACTATGCCATTCGCGGTGCAGCTGGATCGCAATAAACCGATATACAGCAGAACATTGATTATCAAATGTCAAATGTTCAACCGTTAATACGAGAACGTGGAAATCATATAATTACGTAATATCTTTCATTTTTGTAAATGAGATACTTATTCCTAGTTAAATAATTTCAGAATGTTACTGAAATCTTGTAAAAATATTTTCTAAAAACCCGGATTTTCCAGTTTTATTTAAAATTCTAGATTAAAGTATCTAGTTTTAGAGAACTGTAACGCAATTTCAAAACTGGAAGTAACGCAAACAAATATTGTATATTGTAAATTAGAAGGAAACACAAAATTCTATCTGTCCTGCTTTACAATTAGACACAATAAAAAAAAAATCAATGAGCTACTCTTTCATACTGTGTATTTTTTTCTACTATTACTGAGTTTCTTATAAAAATTCGCGACACACAAAAATATATATGTATGCTTTATTGCTAATGCGATTGTCTGTATTTTGTATTAAAGAAAAATTATGAAAAAAAACAATGCTTTCAAAAAGAGACAGAATTTAAATTTAAAAATAAAATTTCAAAAATTTTTTTATATCAAAAAATTCCATGAAAATCCCTGATTTTCAAAGATAAAAGTTTTATGAAAATTCTAGATTGTTTCCCAAGTTTTTCCAAATAGAAATCCTGAATATTCGCTATTATAGAAAGGATTTAATTAACGAGTAGCGATGTATCGTCTTCGAGAAACGAGATCATTTTCCTTCGTATAATCAGTCATTTAGTAATAGGAATTAAGACATCTTATCTTATTTTATCTTATCTTCTCTCTCTCTCTCTCTCTCTCTCTCTCTCTCTCTCTCTCTCTCAAGCTCTTGTGAATTTAGAAATAGATTCAAATGTTTTAACAATTAACATAGAACAATGATGCGTTTTCCTCCGGCCATACTAGTAAGTAACGTGAGAACAGATGTACACGTTCGTGACACATGTAGATCACCTGTTTCGTGGATCACCTCAGCTTCGTACATTTATCAGTTTGTGCGCGAGAAGCGTACATAAAGTGCAGGTGGATAATTGTTCAAAAACGACACGCTACCACAGTGAAATCTCCTCTTATCTCCTTCATCATCTAAATTGTGGCCAGGAAGTTGATTGTGTATCTTGAAACGAAGTGAAAATTAAGCCCTAGAAAAAGCACAGGTAAAGCGGCTGCACAATAAAAGCCACATAAGAAATTGATCAATCATAATCAAATGTAAAATGAATAGTCAACCATGATTGGCTGAATCGACAATTTTTTACGGCTTAGACCTTAGAGCTTAAGTTTTACATCTTACAATCTCATTGTAGACATCTTAACACATTTCAATGTATCTAAAAACTATATATTCTGAGATAAACAATTTCTGAGAGGTTGAAATTTGATATTCTCTGTTTCTCTAAAGATCCCATAATAGAATCTGGCCACGAGATGACAAACTTTTAATTGGTCCGTCATTTTTGTTAACTTCAATAAGTTAGAATAAGTGAGATAGCTAAGTTAGAATGAGATAACATATATAAAAAGAGACAGTATGTACAATACCCTTCTTTTCCACTCTTGTTTTGATAAAATTGCTCGTGGCTAGACTTTGTTATAGGATTTCTACCCTGTTCCTATGGCTGCTTTTCAATTGTGTATAAGGCTTTATTCCTTGCTTCTATTGTATGAGCTTTTCATTGTATCTATACAAAAAGATCGGTTTTGCTGAAGTACCTATAAATTTAGTTAAGTATAAATCTGAAAATTGCGTTTGGAGTATCAAAATAATTATTGGGAGTTAAACTGATTGTTAAGATGTTGCAACTTTTTGCAGCATTGTCATCAATATTTAAGCGTTTTACAGAAGTATTTCTATAGTTCGACAAAATTATTTTCAGATTCGTATTTAACTAAATTTTTTAATATTTTAGAATTTTAGCGAAACAGTTATTCCTTTATAGAGATGAATTATTCCTTTATATAATGAATTCGCTTACTTTTGTAATATTCATCTCGTTTCAAGATACATAATTGACCTCCCAGTGATCAGTGATGTTGGGATCAAAATGTATATGCCGAATCGAGGTGAAAACTACAAAAGTGAGCGAATTTACTGAAACAGTTCTAATTTAATTGATCATCGTCTAGTAAATTTGCTCAATTTTGTAATTTTCATCTCGTTTCAAAGATACACAATCGACTTCTTTGAAATGAGATGCATGAAAATTACAAAAGTGAACGAATTTATTGGAATATTTATAATTTCATTGATAACATCTAGTAAATTTGCTCACTTTCGTAATTTTCATCTCGTACCAAGATACACAATCGATCCCTTTGAAACAAAGTGAAAATTACAAAAGTGAGCGAGTTTACTGAAATATTCACCAACTTCATTGGTCAACATCGAGAGAATTTGCTCACTTTTACAATTTTCATCTCGTTTAAAATACACAATCGATCTCCGTCATTGCGCGAGGTGTCCTCAGCTGCAATTATTCACGTTATTAATCTCCTGACTCGTCGATAAAGATATGAAACTCTCCTCTCCTCTCGCGACGCGTAATTAACGCACCGCCCACCTGCGTGTGAAACTGCCGAAGACATTTTTAAACGACGCCAAAAGACGATTACGACATCGCAAATAATAACTCCTTACGGACGACGGTTTTGTAAGGGTTAAACGAATTTCGGGAAAGAAAGAAAAGGAAAGAGAAAGCGAGAAGGCAGACGAGGAGAAAGAGATGGAGACAAAGGAGGAAAAAAAAGCGATCGATGATCGGGCGAGCGAGCTCCGCCGCCTCCCTCCCTTCCCCTCGTTAATCATCACTTCTAATCGTCTCTTATCATCCCTTATCTGATAATTAGTCGTAACAACGCAAATACATCCCCACGACGCATCATTTCCTCGAGATGGCCCGGCAACGTGCAAAGAATTTTGTCGCCGGCCGCGAAAGCAACATGGCGGCTGCGAGAAACGAGACGACTGGCACTCCTCGCACTCTCTTTCTCTTTTCCTCGCACGGCGTCTCGTGCGTCATCGGTGCGGCCGCCTTCAGGCCGTCGATCGCGGCGACGTAGCCGAAAGAGAGAAAGAGATAGATAGATATATAGATATGTATATATATATATATATATATATAGAGAGAGAGAGAGAGAGAGGACAAATCCGTCGCTCGTATCTCGCACGAAATGATCACCCCGTTAGATATAATCCCGCGAGATCCGACTCAATCTCGTCGATATCTTTACAGAGGTGCGAGACACACGGCGATCCCCGACACATCGTCGCCGGCGAGATCCCCGAGCAACGGACCGCCCGACGACGTCGGGCGGCATGGCTACGGGGTCCACACGAGCCGCGTTGCGGCGCACGTCGCGCAATCCGTCGTGGACGCGGCCAAAGATGGTTGCGATCCCGACATCACATATAACGGTGAAGGTGAACGACTACCAGATAAAGCGGACTCACCTTCGGAGTGCTGTAAGTGGCCTGGGAAATCGGGCTCTCGACGTGTTCAACAGCTACCGTTCACTACGTTCTCGCTGAATGCACTGGCGCGACTAGCGGAAACCGCCATCTTGCCCGGCGCTCGCGCGCCTACTTCCGGCGCGATGCGGCGCGCCGATTTGAATCGCTCGTTTGCTCCTTCTAAATTAGATGAAATGGTATATTAATGTGCTCGTAATCGAAGTAAATTTAATCTTACAGTAATCTTATATCGTAATCTTATATTTATAAATCTACTTAGTATTTAATATTAATTTTAGATCAACGGGATTCAAATATTTATGTACGAGAATGTTCTTGTAAAAAGAAACGAGTTTTTTTTGAGGTTCGATTGCACCAATGTTATTTTAGCTTTAAGCGAAGCTTGAAATTCTCTCTCTTTCTCTCTCTCTCTCTCTCTCTATCTCTCTCTTTCTCTCTTTCTCTCTGTCTCTCTTTTTCTCTCTCAGCTTTAAAAAAAAATGTTTCATGCCTCGTTTAAAGTTAAAGTAATGTTGATGCAATCAGACCTAAAGTTTTTAGAGTAAATCACTCTGGATAGTGAAATCTTATTCTTCAAGACTTTTAACTCTTTAGAGTGAAAGATTCCATTAAATAATTTAGAAAATATTAACATTTAAATATCTTTAATAAAAATAATCCAAGTTGCTTTATAACATAAAGAAAATTGAATTGTTTAATATTTTTTAAAAAGGATTTATAATTTAATGGATCCAATAGAAATTTTGAATACATATTATACAAATATGTACCATGAAATAAATATAATACATATGTTTAAAAATATAACGTTGTATACCTATATCAAACTATACAACTATTAATTCGTAATCTTGTAGCACAATTTATTATAGTAATATTGGCTCAATATATCTACAATCATAACAATACTTAATCAATATCTCACCAATGAAATGTACTCGAAATATAATGTTATAATGATATCGAATGATTATCGTTAATAAAGAATTTTTCTTATTTTATAACAAAAAAATTGTTCTAGAAATTCAATAATTAGAAAGATATAATTATTGAATTTTTATGACAATTTTGTTATTTTGTTGTTATAATAACATACATATTATCCATTTATAGAAAAGGAAAAATTGTTTACTATAACGACAATCATTTTATTCTAACATCTTTAAGGCTTACAACTAAAATTAAATGAAATAGTAGATTAATGTACTCGTAATCGAAGTAAATTTAATCTTATAATACTCGTACTTATATTTATAAATCTTACTATCTAACATTAATTTTAGATCACGGAACTCAAATATTTATATATAAAATAACAAAGTTGAGAGATTTAATCGGACGTATTTATCTCTTTCAAATCTATCACCTTTTCTTCAGAAATTCTGGTTTGGTTTTTTTGGAGGAAATTCTAGTCTTTTTGTTTAAAAATGTTTTAGTGGATTTAAAGATGACTTTAAAATTGTATGCGTAATAATATAGTTATTAGGTGTTGGAATTAATTCGTAGCGTTTTTTAATGAAAGAATGTTATTTATTTCACATGAGCATTAAAAAATACATTAATGAAAGTACTTCCCATCACTTGTAAAACGCTACGAATTAATTCCAACACCTAATAATATTATATGTTTGTTTGAAAATTAATAAAAAAACATAAATATCCAAATAAGGGAAATTAAAAATAATTCTTTTTATAAAAATCTAGATTAGAGACAATTTTATTGGTATCTAAATAAATAACAAAATTTTAGATATGTAAAAAGTTTTCTCTTCTATTTATTCCAATTTATTCCAATTCGCTACGTGTAGCGCCCTCTCTGTAACAGTCTATAATGTCTAAACTCACGTCCAATCACAAAATTATCACATGTGAGCATATGGCAACACATGGCTATCAGGCGTAAATTTTAAACAACAATTTTATTATATTTTTTAATCTGTGAAAGAATTTAGTTTCAAAGATGCCGAAATCGAAGAGGGACAAAAAAAGTAATTTCCTAAATATTTTTCGTCCATTTTTCCGTATTTTTGTAAAAAATATTTTTAGAAACAGTTAGCTTGTTGTAACTAACCTCCAAAAAAAGTTACAATTTCATTTCATGATTTAATATTTTATCACATAATTTTATTGTAATAAATTAAATAATAATTTTAAACAATATTATTTTTTGTACTTTTGTCATAATGAGAAAGAATATATGTGTAAAATAAATATATGACACTGTTTAAAATATTTTTATTTCACAGTTTCTCTCACTAAAACCGATAGAAAAGGTTTAGTCTTAAAACAGAGGATCATGGAAGATGTTAAGAAATGTGTGGAAGAATACAGTTGCATATTTCTAATCTCTATTCAAAATACACGCAATACTAAACTTCTTGATTTACGTTCTGAATGGAAAGACAGTAAACTTTTCTTTGGAAAGCTTAGAATAATTGCGCTGGGTCTGGGAAAATCAAAGGAAACTGAAGTTGCAGAAGGTATACATAAATTAGCTAATGCAATGAAGAATCATTCGATGAGAGGCCAGTGTGGTCTGTTATTTACTAATAGACCAAGAAAACAGGTATATCATATATAAAGACTTAGACAATAACATTAAACTATATTTGAAATAAATATTTGATAAGAATGTCATTTATATATAATATTTATTTATATTTGTATTTATATATATTTATATTTATTGTATTTATGTTTGATAAACAAAATATCATATTTATAGAAATTTTAAGATTAATTTTATATTAGGTGTTGGAATTAATTCGTAGCGTTTT